TAAGCTCCTATCCACCTCCAAACAGCTTGCTTCAGAGCTGCTCCTGCGTAGGCAGGAAGGGACGTTAGGGCCCTAAACAGGGCTCTCCCAGGTACGCGCATAAGCCTGTATCCAGCTGATTCTGCCTTTCACTTCTCAAGTGGCGTCATCTAGCAAGTTCCATCAAAACTTCCTGCCTCCAGCTAGCTTATCTGCTCTTCAGAGATAATTTTCTAAAAAACTTAAAATCGTGATTCTCACAGAGACAAAAAAATGAAGGCATATTAAAGATTTTATTTGACTCATGAAGGAAACAGTTGTTATCCCTGTCTCAAAAGGGGATCCTAAGAGTTGATATGTTTATAGATCAAGAATGTTGAAATGAAAGAGCCACTAGAGATAAAAGTGCTCTTTGCACAGGGGGTGGAAGGTTGTCAACTGAATGTCTACTGGACAGGGCAGAACTTGCTTATCTACAGACAAGGCCTGGCTGTGTCCCCCAACTACACACTTCACAGAGATGGGGAAGAGCTTCCCCAGAATCAGAATACGCAATAACACGACCCACAGGAGTCTCCTCAAGAGCCTCTGGACAGAGAGCAGTTTTCTGCTGAAGCACAATTCTCCCCCTCTCTGCTCAGTCTCCCTCTACCCTTAACTATAAAATCAGGCAGTCACACTCAATCATAGGTTTACTTAGTCTCCCCAGCTTTTACAAAGAGCATCACTGACTCCCCCGTAACTCCCCACACCCACAGCAAACTTCTCTTCCTGCCTTTCAAATCCTCCTTAAGCCAGCCTCACCCTCCTTCTATAACCATTTTTTATTCCAGGCGGGCCTGACCCCTCCACCCCAAGCCAAGCTGACTCCCTCCCACACACGCTCCTGACCTGGATACCTTCTTCAGTCATCAATATCCTTCTCATTCCAGTGGCTCATCTCAAGCTTTTTATGTTTTTGTATTTATTATCTAAAAGGCACACACAGCACCTGTCCTGCTTTTTAATTATCAGTGCTACCTCCACTACACTTTGATCATGCCTTCATTCAAACGTTTTATGAGCACCTCGTTTGGTACCAGGCAGGCCTAGATGCCAGGTCTAGGCATTGGATATCCAGGGATGGAAGCCATGGTTCTCAAGAACCAAGGACAACAGACAATGAGAGTATATGTGATTAGCACTTTGACACAGGCTGCTCTGGGGGCAGCGGAAGAGCACATGGCCCAGACGGAGAGGGTCAGCCAAGATTCCTGGAGGAAGGGCCACTGATGTACCAAAGGAGGCAGAAGGTACTTGGCCAGGTGCACATATAATTCTATCAAATACTTAAAAAATACTTTTACAGGCTCTGCGCCTGTGGCTCAAGCGGCTGAGGCGCCAGCCACATACACCTAAGGTGGCGGGTTCGAATCCCCAGCCCGGGCCCGCCAAACAACAATGGCTGCAACCAAAAAATGGCCAGGCGTTGTGGCGGGCGCCTGTAGTCCCAGCTACTTGGGAGGCTGAGGCAGGAGACTCGCTTGAGCCCAGGAGCTGGAGGTTGCTGTGAGCGTGATGCCATGGCACTCTACCCAGGGGGATAGCTTGAGGCTCCGTCTCAAAAAAAAAAAAAAAATACTTTTACAATCACAGCGCTTCTTACCTCTACTAGATACAGAAGGATAGCAGACTACACCGCCCCAAAATATGCCACTTTGACATAAAGATTATTTTGAGCTAAAGAACTTGAAAAACAGGAGACGCAAGAAAGTCACTCTCATCTCTCTTTACTTCAGAAGATAAAATTCACATGTGAAATGATGCCTTCCCTATACCCAGAGGAAAGAATTGTTATCACCAGAGATGGGGAGTAGAGGCCCAGAGAAATCTGTACGAACCACCTTGTTAAATTAACCCTTATGTTCCTTTAATCGCCCCACATATTTAGTAACTTTTTCACAATTATTACTTTTTGTTCAACCTAGTACATAAGCATTTAGGCCTACCCAATTTGGGGATCTTGATTTTCATGTGAGGGCTCTCATGTACATGGAAAAAATACTAAATGAAGTTGGTATATATTTGTCTTATGGGAGGGCTCCCATATAGATGGAAAAATGTTAAATGAAATTGGTATATTTTTGTCCTGTTCATCTGTCTTATGTCCACTCAAGTCTCACGTCCAGCTGGGAGACTCCAAGAGGGTAGACTTTTGCCTTCCCTACAATAGCAAACTCCTTGAGGACAGGGTCACTGTTTTAGATTGTTTCTTATGACATGACAGAAAATTATAGCAAGCACTTTGTAAACTTAAGAGTTTGATGGATGTCTAAATCTTTCATCTCAAAGTGGTCTAGAATACTAATTGTATATTTGGGGCTGTGAAATGTATTTTTCCCTCATACGGTCAGGTATATGGAAGTGTAAATGGTGTGGTCCTTGAAGCAAAGAGAAAAGGAAATGATATGCCAGAAAGTCTCTGGCTGGAGCAGTGAATGAATAAAAGAGGGAATAGAGTCAGCTGAAGAGAGAGTCAAGTGTAACCTATAGCTCTGCAATGTGGGCACTTCTAAAGTTCATGGACACCCCTCTATCACACACAAGGGGTGGGGACAGTTTTAGGACTCCATTGTTTTGGTTGCAGAAACTGCAACCTGATCGCTCACATTGGAAGAAGGGAAGCACTGTAAAGAGAAGACAAAGATTTCACTCTCTGGAGCAAATATAGATGAACTTCCCATGAGCTTACTGAGTTTATGATGCAACTCTGTTTTAACTATACAGAAAAGGTGGACCCTACCAGTTGAATCCATTCAGTCTTCACAAAATGATGATCAGTTGACAGAGATCCTGCTGTAACTATAAACTCTGGATCCCAAGAAGCATGGCCAGAATTTCGGTCCTCAGACCTCTGGAAAGAAGGGCAGCCCCTGAGGAGCTGCCCTCTGCAAGCTGGAGAACCAAGAAAGCGGGTGGAGTGATTCGACCTGAGTCCAAGGCCCGAGAACCAGGTGCTTCAAAGTTCAAGGGCAGGAGATGATGGATGCCCCAGCCCAAGCAGAGAGAGTGAGTTAGCCCTGTCTCTGCCTTCTGTTCCAATCAGATGCTCCTTTGCAGAGAAAGGCCACCCCTCCTGGCTTAGTCATCTAGGAGTAGGAAGGACAGGTTCTGGGTGAAGGAATAGGACTAGACAAGAACCCAAGTCCAAAGCCATTCTCCCAAATGGAATCTCACTCACCTTGACCCTGAAGTCCTAGCAACTAGAAACAGAAAAGTAAAAGCTGACTTAAAACCATGAACATCAAGAATCCAATAGTGAGAAAATGCAGGGAAACCCCAGGCTCATTTCCCAATTTGAATCTTCACCTCTATATAAATTGAGGGTGGTTGCCAGGAAGCCTGGCCTTGATTTGGAGTTTTGCCACAGAATGTACCAGGCCTCTGTGTGTGTGTTAATAGAAACTCATTTTAAAGGTAACAAACAAGTGAGACCTCACCTTTAAAAAATGGTATGTTTAATTAGCCAGGTGTGGTACCACCTGCCTCTAGTCCCAGCTACTCAGGAGACTCAAAATCCTGAGCCCAAAATTTTGAGCTGCACTGAGCTAACATTACATCACCACATGCTAGCCCAGGCATCCCTGTGAAACCCTATCTCTAAAAAATAATAAATTTCAAATGATAATAAATGTAGCAAATAATTTTATTAATAAAGAAATAAAAATTCGACTGGGTGAAGTGGCTCACGCCTGTAATCCTAGCACCCTGGGCGCCCAAGACAGGTAGATTGCTTAAGCTCAGAAGTTCCAAACCAGCCTGAGCAAGAGCAAGACTTCTCCACTAAAAACAGAGAAAATAGCCCCGCATAGTGGCAGGTGCCTCCTGTCCCAGCTGCTCAGGAGGCTGAGGCAAGAGGATTACTAAAGCCCAAGAGTTTGAGGTTGCTGTAAGCTATGATGCCATGGCACTCTACCCAGGGTGACAGAGACTCTGTCTCAAAAAAAATAAAATAAAATTTCACTCCTTTGGTATTGAGTGATAAAACTGTTTTGCCAACACAGTTGGTAAAGACACCTTGGACTCCAGATCTTCCTTGTCTGTGGTCATATAAAGTGTGCAATTCAAAGATTTTAAAAATCATCACTGCAATCTAATTTAGGTTTCTGTCACCTCCAGAAGAAACTCTTTGCCCATTTGCAACTACTCCCTATCTTCAGCCACTGGCAATCGATTGTCTTTACAGAGAAAGATTTTATATAAACAAACTCAGCCAACAGGGAAAAAAGAGGATAATCAAATCTCTGGCCGCGTCCAGCCCTTGGGAGACATAGACATTCTTCTCCCACCTCCCGCCGAGTCCAAAGTGGCGATTTTGCTCACTGCAGCTGATGTGACCCTCTCCCACCCCTGCGCCCCCAGCTAAAATCAAAGAGCTAGCTAAAATTAGGATCAGGGGTGTAATTAAGAATGGTTTTTGTGTCCTTCCTCGTTCTTACTCCTGTTCTTCAAGTTGTATTCAGTCGTCGTGTACTTTTTTACAATGAAAATTTAAAACGCTTTTTAAAAATTAAAAACATATTACAACACTGAGCACTGTTTCGCAAAGCTCTTATCTTCAAAACCCGTATTTGGGCTCTCCTGCCTTACAGGGTTGCATGCACCCTTAGGACCGGATGAAAGTTCAAAAGTAAGGGCAGGAATAAACAGAACTCAGCGGGAGTGTCTTCATCATCCCGCTGCGCCTTCAGCAGCAGTGAAAGCAGCTCTGGCGCTGCGTTCCAATATTCCCGGGGTTGCCCAACGCTCGCTCTGCTGAGCTCGCCCCACCTCCGGCCCCACTCACGTCTCGGCCGCACCCTCCCTCCTCTGAATCCGGTTCGCCCGAGGACCCTTGAACTTCTTTCGGGAGCCCCGCCTCTCCGCCGGTGCAGCAGGCGCATGCGCACACTCGGAGCCCGCGCGGCCGCCTCCGGTCTGCGCCAACCCCGCCCAGAAGGCTGGCGCGTGCCCGTCAGCCACGCCCCCTAGGTCTTGCTCTGCCCCCAGGCGCGCGCCCGCCCCTCCGGCGCCACGTGGTTGCGGGAGGCGGCGCGGGGGCCGAGCCGGGAAGATGTTCTTGCTGCCTCTTCCGGCTGCGGGGCGAGTCGCCGTCCGACGACTGGGGGTGAAGCATTTCTGGGTCCAGGGTCGCTCCGTCGCAAACATGACCAAGGTGAGAGGCGGTGCGGGCCGCCGTGGAGTCCTGCCAGCTGGCGATGGGGGCTGCCGGGAGGGTCCGAGTCGTGGTGTCCGCGGCTTCTGCAATTTTTTGCCTGAGATCCAAAAATCAGCTAAAAAGAAAAGTTCTCCCTGGTGAGACTCGGCTTTGGCCAGGCCCGCGGCGGGGGCTGCGGATGCGCCGCGGGAGTCCGCAGCCGGCGGCTTCCCGGGGCGCCGGGGACCTATCGGCACCTTCGCCTGCTCGCGGCGGTGCGGGCTGCTGAACTCGCCTGCTCGGCCGCCGGCTGCTTATTCATTCATCATTTTGATTAGTTCTCTCAGTAACCCAAGAGCGTGCAGTAGCAATTCGGTTCTTAACTTGCGCTTGCAGGAAGCCCAAGTTTACTAAGGCGAAGTGTCCTCTAAGGCCCCGGAGTCAGCCGGTCACAGGGCTCCCCTCCCAAGTGGAGGGTCAAGGAGTTAAGTTGCCTGAAAAAGTTTCCAGAGAAAAGGAATGTCTCTCTAGGGAAAAGAGTTTTGAAGAGAGACCCATCATTTCGTGAAATTAAAAGAAGAGTGTCTTCCAGAAGGAAAGCTTTCTGCATCTTTTTGACCTCCAATAATTTTTGAAGGAGGACACAGTTCGGATGCGGAGGATCTGGAAAGGGAGTGGGCTCTGGGGACCAAGCACAGGTTGGGAGTCGTACCCAAGGACCAGAAAGAAATGACCGTCCCTGGCTAGGAATGTTCTAGATTGGAATAGATAGCTCAAATCTCCTGCTGGTTTGACACATAGCAGTGGGACCAGACACTTGTCCCGGTGTCACAAATGGCAGAGGGACCAGATGCCTGTCCAGGGCTCTTCGTAGTTCTTTGTCCTGTCTGGATAACAGGTGTGTCGTCTCCAGTTCCCCTCTTGCTCCATGGAATCCCCCGTAATGAACATTCTTAGGAAAGTCAAAACCCGGCAAAGTTACCAATGGCAAGGAAGCCTGTTTTTTTTTGTTGTTTGTTTTTGGTGGGAAAGACAGAAAGGGCACTAATTTGTTTGTGTGTCTATGTGGGTTTGTGGAGAGGAGAGCAAGGCATCTGGATTCTCGCTCATTTCTGTGTCAGACCTGTTTGCAGATTTATTATCTGTCAAGTGAATATAAGACTACTTGTTCTTTCTACCTCACAGAGTTGCCCTAAGGCAAAAAGTCCTCATAATCATAACTGCCATGCAGAAGCAAACACTAGGCAGTACTGAGCCTGCTTCCTTACTTCAGGTATTTGGGGTCTGGGACTTGCCAAGCAGATGAGGAAGAAGGAGGCGGTCAGTGCTCAGCAGAACCCTCTGCTCTGCACCTCCCTGGGAAGTTGGTTTTTCTCATTTAGCCTGTGAGTTGGCCAGAGCCCTTACTGGTAATGGTGGGTGCAGCCATCGGCTTGTCTGAGATGGCATTTTGGAATATCTGAGATTTGCAATTGAGGGATTTAAGGGAGGGGAAACTTCCTTGTACCTTTCTAGTTTCTGTGGCTGGGCCTAAGAATTAACAAAAGAAGCATTAACAGGAGAAAAGCAAACACATTTTATTTAATATTTTCACAAGAGTCTGCAAAAAGCAAGTGAAGAAAGTGTTAGGGCCAACAGCTTATATACCTTTGAAAGCAAGGAACATAAATTATGGGCATGTGACGAGACAAAGGGCTTGGACTGAGGGCAGTACATGGACAGTGACCACGAAATGCCTAGGGGAAATTAATGGAAGGTAAGTGTTATTTCAGTAAGTTTGTACAGGTCCATTTTAGGGTCACCTTCCATTCTCTGGTGACAGAATGTTTTCTTCTTCTTGGAAGAACACCTTTCTCAAGGAAATTTTTATGACCTGCTTTTAGATAGGAAGGGGAGACCCCTTCTCTATTTGCCGTTTCTCAAGTTCCTTCAGCTCAAAATAAACTATGGCAAAGTCGTTTTTTTTGGAGGGTGGCACGTTTTGAATTCCTTTGGGCTCTGACTTGGTGATAAATGTTTTTTTTCCGCTGTTGTTGTTAAACAAAACACCTTTTTGCTGTATTTGAAAGTTGAGTCCTTTCCTGGGAGTGACCATGAAAACCCACAGTAGGGAGTGATGACAGCCCTGCCTTGGCAAGGATCTGAAACACTCAGGCAGGTGCACATGGAGCTGTCTGCCTGGCACCCGCTGGTTCTGTGGCTTTGTTCTTCGTCCTTGGGGAAGACAGGGTTTTGGTGGAATTATTTGCTCCTCATGGAATTTGGGGATTTCTGAGCCCCTGTAAGGAATCCACTCTAATCATCTTTTTTGCTTATTCTCAGGGCCTTGTGTTAGGAATCTATTCTAAAGAGAAAGAAGATGATGGGCCACAGTTTACAACCGCAGGAGAGAATTTTAATAAATTGGTGGCTGGAAAGCTGAGAGAAATTTTGAACTTGTAAGTGTTACCTAAGGGTGCTAATTTTTAAAGTGCCCCCAAATTGAAAGAGTATATTTTTTCTAAGCTTTATTGTTTAGTAGAAAAAAATGAGTGGAAATGCCCTGGCCAGAAAGTTCTTTGTGAAAGTGAAAGTATGTGTCTGGACCGTGGTTTGGTACCCTGTGTTTCAGTATGGGTATGTCTACAATTCTGGGAAATCAGAACATTTCCAACCTAATAACAAGTCTATTGTGAAGGACTGACCCGGAATCTGCGAAGTACCAGATTTCCTCAGCCCACCCTCCTGGCTCCAATTCCCTTTCCCCACCCTCAGCCTCTCTGTCTGCCTTCCCACCAGGCTCTCTGCCTCTTTTAGCCCCCCTTCCATAGAGAGAGACAGCAGCATCCTTACTAGTTAAAAACAGAACAAGGGTTCTGACTGCATGCCTGGAGCTTCAAGGGCTTCTCCCGTCTCCTCTGTTAGATGGCAGATTCTAATTCTGGAAGTCATTAGGGCCTGAGATCCCAACGAGTAGGGAAATGCCAGAGCTGTGGGCCATCTTTGGCAGAAGTAGAAGTGTCCATGTAAGTTATTACAACTATGTATGATTGGGATTATAGCTACCGTGATACAATCTAATAATTATAGTAACTAATTGTTGGCTACCAGAGTCTGTATCCCCTCTCAATTAGCAGTTCTTCATCAGTAGACAGAGCCTTCTCAAGTGTCTAGATTAATTCATTAATCTAAAAGCTGACCTGATAGAGTACACCAGCCTTTCTACAGAAGGCTGCAGCCCAGAGCATCTGCTCCAGGCTCCGGGCTATAGTTGTTTGGAAATAAAGTTTTGTTTGGAAATTATCCAGGATCCAGTCTGTAGAAAATCCCTCACAGACTATACTTCTAAGCCAAACCCACAGCCTTCAGGTCAGCCACCTAGGTTACCCTAATGTTTTTGTGTCATTGTTTTTTCCTGGAAAGATGTAAGGTTCATTCTGTTTAGCCACACTGCAGAATGCAGAGGACCATGGGGCCATAGCCTTACTTCCCATTGTTTTCAAATAAAGTTGTGTTAGATCTAATTGGAAAGTTTGCTAAATAGTTCCTGAGCTAGAGTTAGAATTGTTACATCTAAGAAATCTGGCCTGAGAGCATTCTGCTTTGGGATAAAAACATAAAAGAGGGAAATCCACAGACGCAGTTACAGTTGTGACAGTGCTAGAAGTACATGCATGTCACTTCCCAAGCCAGCAGAGCAAACTTGATTTTTAAAACTCTATTTCCAAAAAGAAAAACTAAACAACCCCACTATTTCCTCTGGTTTTAGATCTGGACCACCTCTGAAGGCAGGCAAGACCCGAACCTTTTATGGTCTGCATCAGGTATGAGATGAAGATAATGTTCATTCCGTAAACCGTCAGTAAATACCCACTATCTTCCAAGCACTGTGGCTGCCTGGTCATACCGAAAATTCTGTGTTGGCTCCTATAGTTTCATTCTAGTACTAAGCAAAAGAATTACTTAAAGAGGTGAATCCTTGTCAAAAAGAACAGCATAGTTTATATTTCCTCAATCTGAAGGCTTGATTTGTCCAGCTATGGTACTGTCTTACACAGAATTATTGGGAGGATTATTCTCTCTCTACCTTCAAATGTATAAAATGTTACCAAGACACAGGAACTGAAGGAGAAAACCCACAGCCAAAGTCACGGTGAATTCAGCCCTGGGCTTCGGTTAAAGTAATAGTGTGGGAGCTTGGGGAATCTCTGCTTATGCCAGGCCCTGCTGGAGATGAATGCTGGCAAGGAACAAGTGGCTGACTGGGTGTGTTTGTGGAACAGGACTTCCCCAGTGTGGTGCTAGTCGGCCTTGGCAAAAAGGGAGCTGGAATCGACGACCAGGAAAACTGGCACGAAGGAAAAGAAAATATCAGAGCTGCTATTGCAGGTTATTTTACTTTTTAAGTTGAATATTGATAAAGAATCTTAATGATCCACTCTTTCCAATTATCTCTTGTCTCTTTTTTTGTCCTTTTCCTGTCAGTGCTTGTACCACATTCAGACAGAAATCCCTCATCTTAACAAACGTTCAGTTTCCCTTACTGAATATGCTTGGCCTTAGGCCAGATACAGGTTAGCTTATAGAATTTTCTTTCATATTTCTATATCCTCGGGAGGTTTTACTACCACTCTCAGATTTGTATTTTACCAGAAATTGTTGTGTATGGATTTTTTTCCTTTTTGTGAATAGTACCCGGTACCTTTTTGTAACATAGTACTCAACTTTTAAATTAACATAGAGTTATCCTCTTTCAAAATCAGAGAGTAACAAAGCATGGTGTGGTGTGCTCATTTATCACTAGCCGAAGGTGTGTGGCTGTCCCCTTGTGTCCGGAAACTAATGCACCTGACTCAGCTGAGAGCTGAGTGGTAGGTCGAGCCTCTCCCGAGGAGGCACTGGTTAGCAGATGCTTTGAAATAAATTTCCAGAACAGCAGTAATTGGCTTGATTACTCTCTGGCCCTGTGTATGACATGAGTGCTCGTTAAACTCTCCAAGTTCATGTGAAGTGATTATTTCATAGCTTTTATTTGGGAGGTTTTGCTGACCTGATCTTTATTAAACGCTGTGTTAATAAGGGACTTTGCCCTGTTGCTTGAATATAATGACAGCATCATCATATCCCTGTCATTTTTAACCTGAGAAGCACTTGGAGTTTGGGAAACGTCATCAGAAAATCATAGTGTGTCAGAAATAATACCAGGAATAGCTACCACTTTCTGAGGGTGTGTCCTGTCCTGTAAGGAGCTGTTCATTTTCTGTATCAGTCTGTCCTCAGCACGACCCAGGAAGTGCCCTCAGGTCTTCGTCTCACAGAGGAGGAAAGGGAGGCTCCAAGCAGTTAGGTGTCAGGACTGGGATTTGAACCCTGTGCTGGGGTTTTCCCAGCACACCACACCATTCTCTGTCTTCTGCTGTATGAGTTGTTTTAACTGACTCCAGTTTTCTGGTTCCTCTGTCCTTTCCAAGCGGGATGCAGGCAAGTTCAGGACTTGGAGCTGTCCTCCGTGGAGGTGGATCCCTGTGGGGATGCCCAGGCCGCTGCCGAAGGAGCGGTGCTTGGTCTCTACGAGTACGATGACCTAAAGCAGAAAAAGAAGACGCCTGTGGCAGCGAGGCTCTATGGAAGGTGATGGAGGAAGCCAGGAGGAGGGCGTGCCCCCCAGCTGACGGCCCCCTAGAGCTGCCTGCTTTTCAGTGGTGGCCACTGCCACTTGGCTTGTCTGTGACCTTCTCTATTACCTAGGCCATTTTCATAGTGTGATAACTACACCTTTCCCTGTGATGCCTTAGACCCCTCCATGCTGGTCGTTATTAGGAAGCCATAACTAGGTGGCTTTTACCCTAGAGAGATGGAGGAATGACACAGACATGTTTCTGCAGGTTTCAATCCTGGTCATTTCCATTGAACTGGCAGCTCCTGGTACAGTGCTGAACGTTAGTGCTGCATGGTGGAGGGGCACCCGGGATACTGCTGGTCCTTGCCCTCAGGGTCTTATGCACCAGGAGACTATTGAGTACCTATGATTATCCAGCCTTGTTCTAAGTTGTAGGAGAGGGAGTCTGGATCGTTAAGAGTGGGCAGAATGAGACCTCCAGTAGATGGGGTGGCAGAGAGCACCGGCCCTGTAGCTATCAGCCCAGGCTCCACTGTGTCCTCCTTCTGACTGTGGTCACTTCTCTGAAATCTTGGGCTCATGTTCTTTGTTTAGTAGAGTTGTGAAACTGATTCCATAGAGTTCTTACACTGACCCAAGACAGCACCTGCCAAGCAGCTGGTACTTGGAATACCCTGGGGTCATCAGCTGCTATTCACCTATCTCTGCCCCACCCTCTCTAAAGAGCCAGGGTCCGGAAACATGGGCCATGTCCTTTTTCTTCTAAAGCCAATCTTTGCTCCCTGGTAGGTTGGGATTCAGAGCCCTGGCACAGGAAAAAGAAGGCAGAAAAGCCTCTACTCCCACATCAGAATCGATGCCATCCGCTCACTTCACAGTTAGCACTTGGGGCTGCATCAGTCCTGAGGCAGGGAGCGGGAGCAGGGTGAGGCTTCTGTGGAGACCTCTTTCCACACGTACACGGCAGGTTTAGAGCTTCACAGACGAGCCCTCAGGGAGTGAAGGGCAGGGCCTGGTCAGGCCCCTCGGCTATGTCCTGCGGGGGCCATTTTTTGGTTCTTTGCACCATCCTGTCTGTCACCCTGGGTCAGGTCACAGAGGACAGGGGCGTCTGTCGTTTTTCATTTCATTTGTCGTCCTTTTCAGTCTCTGGTAAGGTAAGAGCCTCTCCTACCTATAGGATGCTTACTGTTTTGGGGGTGTGTGATGGTAACTTTGTGCTTTCTTCGCCAGTGGGGACCAGGAGGCCTGGCAGAGGGGAGTCCTCTATGCTTCCGGGCAGAACCTGGCACGCCAACTGATGGAGACTCCAGCCAATGAGATGACGCCAACCAGATTTGCCGAGATAATTGAGAAGAATCTCATAAATGCTAGTAGCAAAACAGAGGTCCATATCAGGTAATTCAGGAGTGTGTCATAGACTCAGCCACAGGAGTCTGCGGCATCCTACAATCCAGCTCCCTCCCTGTTTAGAGGAGTAATGGGACATGACCCCCCAGAGGCCATATGCAGGCTGGGATAGAGCTCAGTTTGAGGTTCTTTCTGCATTATCTTTTCTTGCCTTTGCACGTGCCATGAGTTTGCACTACACTGTGTGTGTGTGTTGGAACAGCTTTACTGAGATATAATTCACATTCCATACAATTCACCCATAAGTGATTCAGTGATTTTAACGTAGGCGCAGAGCTTTGTTACCATGACCACAATCAATGTTGAACATTTTTGCCACCCTCCAAAGAAACTTTGTACCCATAAGCAGTCACTCCCTGTTCCCCCATCCCTCCAGCCATCAGTTGACAGGCATTTGGGTTGTTTTTACCCTTGGGAAACTATGAATTATAGGGCTTCAAGCAGTCACATTACATGTTTGGTGTGGAAGTGTTTTTTAGTTCTTTCAGGCATATGCCTAGGAGTTGAGTTGCTGAATTAAATGGTAACCCTGTTGAACTCTTGGAGGAATTTACATGTTTTGCTTTGGTGAATTCTTCCCATTGTCTTGCGTTCCAACACAAGTGAAGAATGCAGCATGCCTAACTGGGCACAAAATGAGAATTTCTGCTTGGTAGATCCCAGAACCGGTGCTCCCAGGAGTCCTGACAACCGGGGCCAGCGGCAAGCCTGTTGGACCTAAAAGTCCAAGCTCTGGTCCCTCTTGGGGTGTTCCCCCAACCATTTAAACAAACCAAGTCTGAGCATTTAGAGATTTATGATTAAAGTAAAGTGACAGATTTTGGTTTTATATAGAGAGTTCTTCATTATCAAAGTTGTCTCTCAAGTGAACAACCATTTAAAAGAATTCCTCAGTGCTTGTGATTTCGAGTTCACATTTTTTAGGACAGCCCTGTAGCACACGGTACTTACAGCATGATAAAATTTCTGGAATGGTTAGAGCATGTTTAGTTTGTAACAGCATTCAGGCTCTGTAAAGGTGTCCTAGCAGAGACAGTTCCTTGTCTGATTTGAGGAGATACCAGAGGTACTTTGTGTCGGCGGGTAGTGGTGATGGCAGCACCTCCAGCTGCCTGGGGACTTGGCTACAAAGATGCCTCAGCCCCTAAGAAGTGAGGATGTTGTAGGAAGCCATGGGGAGGTATGCAAAATGTGCTGTGGGAGCAGAGGGCAGAGAATTGCCAAAGAATGTGAGGCCTGAGCTGAGTTGGAAGGTCACTTCGAGGTTAGCAGGGAGAGCAGGGCAGGCCAGGCGTTCCGGTGGGAAGCAGGGCATACTGCCCCTGGGAAGCTTCAGGCCTATGCTGAGCAGAGGTCTCTGAGCAGAGACCAGGCAGGACATGCTGGCTGGGCATGACTCATTAAACCGAGACATCGGGTATGCATCAAAGAAATGCAGACGGACATTTCTTATGGACAGGCAGGACTTTAAAACACCAAGCGCTGAGTTTGTGGTTAAAAATCCCCATGTTGCGTAACCTTGTTTCTTTTTAAGTGATTTTGTTTTTTATCACAGCTTCCATTTTTATATTCTTTTCCCTTTGTAGTTTGGTGACCATCCCTCCATGGTGCAGTCCCAGTTTAGCTCTAACAAATAGGCAGGGGCAGGGGGAACATTCCCTGGGTATGGCTGCGGCTGCCCTGTGGGGATATAGGGTTTCCCTCTTGGCCTAGTTACTGTGGCCAGAAATAATACAAAGCTCTTTTGTGCCCCCAGCCTAGAACGGATAGCAGTGTGGCATCAGTTTCCAGTTTGTATTAAGGACTGTTTCCATTCTGGGACCCCCTGATCCTGTGTTCATTAAATTAAGAAAATTAGTTTTCTTGCTTCAATGAAAGACATCTGAAAATGTGATAGAAAAACTGAGAATAAAGTTTCGACACTGAAACTATAGAATTCTAGCTATTCTACAACTCCAAAGAAATAGGATCTTTTATTCCAGTTTGTCAAATGTAGCTTTGTTAGTTTTTTGTTGGTTGATTTTGTTTTGTTTTGTTTTTTTGGTCAGTTTTAGAAATAACAAAAATAAAGCAATAGACCCCTTAACTATATATCAGCATCCTTTTTGGTCTTAGAACCTTATTAAATTCATCTCTAAATTAAACTTAGAGATATCTGAGTCACTTGGGAGGAAAAACACGTCATCTTATTTGCTGACTATACACCTTGACATTGTGTTACGTTCTATGCATGAATTCTCTTCATAATTCTGTAATCTTCTGATGGAGGAATCATTGATTTCACTTTACAGATGAGGAAGTGGGCTTGCCCAAGAATGTATTGAAAGCAGATAATTGAAGCCTTCCTGTGGACATATTTAGGAACTTCTTTATTATACTTCCTACTTTATTGTATTTTATATTATGAAACACTGATGAGGTTACAGTGTTTGCCATGTTAGGTAAGGTCCCTGTTGTAGTTGTGCCTCTCACCCAGGTGTCCCATATACCCTTACATTGTTCCCATTAGGTGGGAACATACCAATCCCTCTCCCTCTTCCCCCTGACTTGAATTGAGTTTTTATTTTGTGTGGATGTGTGTTAGTTTATCTACTGGCCTCCAACTCTATCCAGGTTAATATAAAAGATGTAAAGTCTTCATCTGTTTTTATGGCTTGATCTAAGTTAGTTTTTTAACGGTATCTTCACTTTTCCCCCTTGCTGCCCTGTAGACCCAAGTCTTGGATTGAAGAACAGACTATGGGATCATTCCTAAGTGTGGCCAAAGGGTCTGACGAGCCCCCTGTGTTCTTGGAAATTCACTACACAGGTAGCCCGAATGCAAGTGAACAGCCCCTCGTGCTTGTCGGGAAGGGAATTACATTCGACAGGTACGTCTTGGCGTCTGTGCTTTGTACCCTGTGATTGCTTTGTGTGACTTGTGTTGCTTGGTGTGCAGTTTGATTCAGAAGCGTGGTGTCTGGTGAATGTTGTACGTTACGTTAAATGTATTAAGCTACTGCCTGTAGAAGTGCTTACTCTGTGTGACAGACTATTAGGCATTTTCCATATGAAGCACTTGTATGAGTGCTAGGGATTGTGGACCTTCCATAGGTAAGGCAATGACTCAGAGAGGTTACACCATTTGTTTGAAGTCCCACAACTAATATGTTGAGTGGGAAGTCAGACTCAGCTCTGTCTTTAAAATGTCTTAAAACCTTTCCACCATACACTTTGATTGTCCTTTGTGGCTATTACAGATTTTCCAGGTGGATACTGATGGTGCAGCTGTTTGGATTCTGTTGTCTTCCCTTTGCTGGCTTCAGATTATTTTTTTAGCTGACCAATCCAGTTCCCACTAATCTTGTTAAGCCATAAATATTCCTTAGAATTGAAAGCAATCTCTGGCAATTGCAGCCAAGGACGGGCAGAGTTGGGAAAGACAGTAGAGTTAGTATTTCCCATGGAAAACATATACCACTGAATATAGTTTCAGGGATGCTAATGTGAGGTATAGAAAGGGTTGCTTGGCAAAAAACTAGGTTAGATCAAGCACGTGAGGTTTTTTCTTTCTGTTTGTTTAATGACAGGGCTTCTTGGGGTACAGAAGGTAGTACTTTCTGATTTCCTTTTGAAGGAATCCGGACTCCTGGAACTTTGGAAAATGCTGCCAGAGAAATGTGAGATGTTGATGCCCCTAGTACGTTTTTGCACTCAGTTCATTTTTGCCACACCAAAATGAAACCCAGCCCTCTGTAGCAGTGCTTCTGGGCATGGGAAGTCCCAGAGCGGGTAACGTCCCCTGTGTCTCCCACCCATTGGTTCACGTTCTCTCCTTTCAGGCAGTGGTCTCTAAGCCATTTTCATTCCACACCCATCACTAAAAGGTTCTGAGCACATGCCATTCAAAATGTACATGTTTGTTTATGAGTTATATGCACCAAACACCACAGCAAATAAGAGTTAAGTTGTGAAAGTTAAACTGTTTTGGAATGTCTTGCTAATTGTGGTTTTACGCTGTCATAGGCTAATATCTGGATGTGAAAATAGTTTATGCTCAGGGTGAACTTCATTCTTAATTTAATCCACATTTGCATTTTTGGCTGAAGAGGCCTGACTTAGCCTTTGAGTGGAAAGTCTTCCTGGCAGGAGTGTCAGTTTTATCTTAAAATGTGAAGGATCAGGAGGAATTAGCTCACTGGGGACTAGGGACTCATGTTCTGGGGTAGTGATGCCAGCCTTTTTGTCACTAGGAACTAGTTTCATGACAATTTTTCTGCAGACAGTGTGGAGATGGTTTGGGGACGATTCAAGCACATTGCATTTATTGTACACTCTACTTCTGTTACTACATTGTAATATACAGTGAAATAATTATACAGCTCATCATAATGCCGAGTCAGTAAGAGCCCTGAGCTTGTCTTCCTTCAGCTAGATGGTCCCAGTGCCTCAGATCACTGCCTCAGATCATTGGTCATTAGATTCGTATAAGGAGCACACAACTAGATCCTCACATGTGCAGTTTACATTAGGGCTCCTGCTCGTATGAGAATCTAATGTTGCCTCTGATGTGACAGGGAGTGGAGCTGGGGGGATGACGCGAGCCATGGGGAGCTGGGGAGCAGCTGTAAATACAGATGAAGTTTTGTTCACTTCCCCGATCACCTGATCATCTCCTGCTAGCAGCCCTATTCTTAACAGGCCTGGGTGTTGGTGACCTTGGGGACTGTAGTTCTAGGACAGGGAAACATGGTGAAGGCTGCATGGTGAGAGGCAGTAGGGTTAGCTCCTGGTGTTGTAATAACAGTGTGACTCTGCACCCCAGAGTGTGAAAGGGTGAAGGGGTGAGACACGATGGCTGGAGAGGTGGGCAGAAGCTTGGTTGTTCTGAGCCTGGTTAGATATTGGACTTTGTTTTGCTCTAAACAGGTGGATGTAACTGAAGATTTTCTAGCAGAGGGGATAATCTGTACAGGGGATAATATGTACAGAGGGGTTTATATGTACAGTTAAAATTCACCCTTTAGAGGTTCAGCTTAGTAAGTTTTAACAGAAGTCTGCACCCATGAGTACCCCCACTGTCAAGAAAATAGAACATTTCCCTCACTTCTCAAAAACTCCCCTGTGCCTTTTTGTACCCCCCACCTGCTGCCCCAACAGCCAGCCAGTCCTCCTTCTGTTACTGGAGATTAGTTTTGCCTATTCCAGAAGTTTACGTAAGTGGAGATTTTCATGCCCAGCTTCTTCCTTCCAGCATAGTGTCCGTGAGATTTAGCCATGTTTGGGGCGTATCAGTCATTTGTTCCTTTTTATTGAGCAATATCCCATTGTACGAAAACGTTAAGTTTTGTTTATCCATTCATCTATTGCTGGAAATTCTGAGTTGTTCCAGTTTGGGGCTGTTAGGAGTGAAGTTGAGAGCGTCTCTAAGCTTTGAGTAGACATAGGTTTGCCCTTCTCTTGGGTAAATTCCTAGGAAAGTATCCAGTGAATCGTGTAATAACTACGTGTTTAACCAAACTTTCTCTGAGTGGTAATGAGACGAAATTTAGACGTTTGACTCCTTGGGCAGGTCTGTGGTGCTTTACCCAGCAGTTAATTCTCAGCTCATGTTAACGCTCAAGTTCTTTTTTAGGAAAGTGATTTCGCCATCTTCTCCGCCATTAATGTTTGCTATTAATGTCCTTTTCCCTGCAGTGGCGGTATCTCCATCAAGGCTTCTGCAAACATGGACCTCATGAGGGCAGACATGGGAGGGGCTGCAACTATCTGTTCAGCCATCGTGTCTGCAGCAAAGCTTAATTTGCCTATTAATGTCATAGGTAAGTGGCATGAGGGATTGTCTTGGAGAGCTGGAATCCAGTCCCTTGTAGAATTGAGAGAGCAGATGTGGTTTCCTATAATCTGAAAAGATCACAAAACTGTTTTTAGCTCAGATGAGTATTTTACTCTCTGAGCTGATTGTGTTTTGCAACCCGTGGGCTGTAAGGAGATTGATTTGTTTGACTTCTGCAAAAAGTGGCTGGTAGTTAAGAGCCCGTGATGTTGAGGTTGTAGTTCACTCCAGTAAAAAGTGCTCAGCC